ATCAATCCTATTAAGTTCAATAATTACACTCGTTAATCCAGATTATCTATGGTTGTTAATTAATCGGATCATTTATATGAATAGCATGTTCCCTCAATATTACTCGCATGCCCACAATTTATCAATCTTATATTCCTATGGTATTGAGTCTATCATGAACGAATATATTCCTATCCTAACCGCGAAATCTTCCCCCGAGCCACGGGTTCAGAAACAAGCTCTCTCTAATTCTACTCTAATCTATACACGGCTTTCCCAAGTATAGCATAGATAGTAGTGTGAATTGGTAGCTACAACAATTCACAAGTGGAAACTAGAATTAAAGAAACCACCACAAGATGATAATCCGAATTAACGAAGATGCAATTATTAAACGTTAATAATCATGTCAACCACAACCCTAGACCGTAGAGTGCTTAGCCACTCATGTTCGTAGCAACAAATTTCCAAGTATTTTGCATAAAACAATTACAAAGAAAAGATAGAGGGATGAAGAACTCTATGATTTTCTCCTCCAAAAGTGATTCCATGTGATGTTCTTGCCTCCAGTCGCAAAACTCTCCTAAAGATGGTATGTTTTGACTATTTATATGTGTAGGGAAGAGACCTAAACGAAATAACAAAGTCCAAAACCAAATAGGAGACAAAATAGGCTTTTAAAAACCTGAGCCCGCTCGCTACGGACCTCGCCTCGCGACGCAAAATGCACAGTCCACCTCGCCTCAGACTGGCCTCGCCTAGCGCGCTTGGCATCTCGCGTTGCCACCTCTGTCGTGAGCAAGATGGCTCGTGTCACTGACTTCTTCGGTGCTTCAATCAATTCTGTTGCTTTTGCCTAACATTCTCTTTTCACGTTTTTGTCTTCTTTCTCAATTGTTACACTTTTGTCTTCTTTTATAATTAAATACCAACTAATTAAATAATCATACTTCATTTATTGCGTATAAAATACACACAAAATCTCTACTTTGCTCTCAATTTCGTCTTCAACGTACCTACACATAAAAATAAACTCAATTTAGTACGAATATAGTATAGTTTTGCATTAAAGCACCTAAAATGCAAGGTTAAGTAATGCACTAAAAATATGAAATTATAGCCAAACATCAATCAACAAAACACCCAACAAGAAAGGGCAAAGGTAGAATCAATTACCTTTAGTGTAAAGCAACATTTGGTTTCCTATCTTTTGGAAATATATAATTAGTGTCCTGAACTCACCTTGGCTTTGTTTTAAGGCTTAGTCTTTGCAATTCTTGGTTTTGTTCTGAAAGAGTGGAATCTGATGGGCAAAAGGTCAGCACGGTGCACTAAGCTCCCGCTATGCGCGGGGTCTAGAGAAAGGCCGGACCACAAGGGTCTATGTCTATTGTACGCAGTCTTACCCTGCTGTCACGACCCCAAATTCCCTCCGTAGGAGGTCGTGATGGCACCTAGTCTCTAAGACTAGGTAAGCCTAACAATACGGAATAATCATAAATATCTGAAAATAAATAAACTACAATTCAAATGATTACAACTCCCAAAACCCGGTAGATATAAATCACAAGCTTCTAAGAATTTATTCTCAATGTCTCTATATGTCAAGGTCTAAAAATAAATATAAGGAAGCAACATAAAATGATAGAAGGGGACTTCGGAGTCTGCGGACGCTGGCAGATATACCTCGAAGTCTCCGTGCGCAGGTAACTCACTGACGTCTAAGCTGGTAAAATGTACCTGGATATGCACAAAAAGATGTGCAGAAACGTAGTATGAGTACACCACAGCGGTACCCAGTAAGTGTCAAGCCTAACCTCGGTAGAGTAGTGACGAGGTCAGGTGAGGCCCTATTAGAATATAATAATAGCATGGTAAAATGTTTATCAATGTAGTAAAATACAATGACATTGGAAATGAATCAAATAGTATGTCACATTTAATGACACCAAATAATTGCAAATAATATCTCGTGGAATCAAAACAGAATTTCCTTCAACTTTATGAAAATCACAACAATTAATCGAAAGTAACTATGGCCATAAATCAATATCAACAAGGGCACTACCGAGGTACCGTCTCGTAGTCCCAAATTATAAATAATTTCACAATATCTCATTTTCTTATATCACCGCGGGAGCCTTCACAATTTATTTAAAGAAAATATTTTTTTTCCCGAAATAACATCCCGCGTTTTAACCACCCTTATCACACCGCATGACTTCTAGTAGTCATCCCTACTAGCCACGCGTATCAAGCCACCCTTATCTCACCGCATGCGTTTCAACACCCAGACCTTATACCACCGCATGCGTATCAATATCACAATATATCACAATTTGCACCTCAAGTGCTCAAATAATTTAACTTGCCAAAATAATTCAACAACAATATTTTTCCACAATAAAGAGCTCACGGCTCATGCCAAAATAAATCATCAATAATAGTTTTCCACAATAAAGAGCTCACAGCTCATGTCAAAATAATTCATCAATAATATTCTTCCACAATAAAGAGCTCACGGCTCCCTCACAATGAGTATAAAAATATTCAGGAGTAAATAATTTAGGAAAATAATATTTCAAAATCTTTAATACGTTGCTTCAATATCAAGTTTAAAAATGTCAAATACTTCATATTAATAATATTTAATTTAAAGAAAATCAACCTTCAAATAATGCACAGAATAAAAGAAACCAAGTTTCAACTAAACAGGTAAAACAATTAGTAAGAAAAGATCAAACAAATTTGAAGTATATATCTCAGATCAATGATGAAGAATATAACAAGATAAAATAATTTAATAAATGCGCAACAATGATCTACACAATTTAAAAATATAATCTTTCACATTTAGCCCGTGTACACACTCGTCACCTCGTGTACACGACTTTCAACACATTTCAATAATCACATTAATATCAATTCTAGGGAAAATTTCCCCCACACAAGGTTAGACAAGTCACTTACCTCGACTTGCTCCAATTTAATCAAGTATTATGCTTTTTCCTCGATTTTTCGACTCCGATCGACTCGTATCTAGTCATAATTAATTCGATATAGTCAACAAAAATTATAGAAATCAATTTCATAAGAAAATATTATATTTTTTTTAATAAAATCCGAAATTAACTCAAAATTTGCCCGTGGGGCCCACATCTCAGAATCCGGCGAAAGTTACGAAATATGAACGCCCATTCCAACACGAGTCTAGCCATACCAAAATGACTAAATTCCAATAACGATTCGACCCTCAAATCCACTAATCTATCCAGGAGGATTTTCAAATTCTTCCAACTTAAATCACCAATTAAATGTTAAAAACCATGCTGGATTCGGGTAATCTAACCAAGATTGAGTTAAGAACATTTACCCCAATGTTTTTCCTTGAAGATATATCAAAAATCGCCTCTACTCAAGCTCCAAGTTGTTAAAAATGACGAATGGGACGAAGGCCCCCTGTTTTTATAACTTACGGATCTGACCAGGCTGACCTCGATCGTGGGGTCCGATCCTGGATACTCGATCATGGGAGTCCGATCATGGAAAGTCCGATTAAGGGGATTCCGATCATGGGGAGTCCGATTAACTAGACCTCAAATACTGCTATGAGCTATCACTATTATTGTGGTTGTTGGCGGTGGTGGTATGATTGTTGCTACGGTGGTTGCTATTCCCAACCCTCCGATGTTGCTTCAGCTGCGAAAGCTCCAATTGTGTATTCATAAAAAACTGCATTCTCTGCAACTCCAGTTCTTTAGCAAACTTCATCCTTTGTTTCTCCATCTCCACCATTTGTTGTATCTTTGCGCTCTCTGCTTGTTCATAAGCTTCCCCAAATTTCAGAATCGCCCGTGTCAACTCCCTCACTGAATTCCCCCAGTTTTTGCCCTTTCCACTAGCTTCTCCACTTCCTCCACGTGTCCCCTGCCTCATTGCACTTGAGTTCATCAATTCCCTCTGAATCCTTGGCCTCTTTCTCTGAAAAGTTCCCGGCGGGAAACTGTCAGTTGAATTAGGCGAAAGCTCCGGTTCCGACTCCGATTCCGACGTGTCTGAATCAACGTGAGGCCTTTTTCGAAAGGGTTGCTTCTGCTTCTATTGTTGTGATTGCGGATGTTGATGTGGTCTAAGATGAGGAAGGGACCTAACTCCCATAGGAATACCCACAGGCACTTGCAGTTTTTGATTACTTAAATATAAATTAGACGGTTCAGCACCTCCGGCGGCGATGGTTGGATTGATCTTAGCCGTCGCGCCAATCAACTGATCCAGTT